GGTGAATTTTTAGGGCCCGAGCACGACCGTGTGAGGTCCCTATTGAATTTGCTCGGAATATATATATTTAGGGCCCGAGCACGACCGTGCGAGGTCCCTATTGAATTTGCTCGGATTATTATTAGGGCCCGAGCACGACCGTTGAATTTGCTTGGATTATTAGGGCCCGAGCACGACCGTGCGAGGTCCCTATTGAATTTGCTCGGATTATTATTAGGGCCCGAGCACCGTGCGAGGTCCCTAAACATACTCGAAAACTCACCAAAATTTGCAAACATGTCAGAACCGGTGAAAAATTTCGTATTCTACAAGTTTCGCACATGGGCGTGGCAAAATGACTCGCTAGCGCCACCTAGAAAATTGGAAATGATTAGCCCCTCGTTCACGTTCAACCTACATGTACGAAATTTTCTGGGGACATGTATCATATCAAGACGCACAAAAAAGCCTCAAGAACCCATAGCCTAAAGTCAACAGGAATCGGCCATTTTGAATTTTACGGCCATTTTTGGATGATTTACACACTTCGTACTTTAACGAACTCCTCCTAGGGATTTAGTCGGATCGACGTCAAATTTCTGCTGTGCCTTCTAAAGGCATTGACGATGAAAAGTTGTGCTATTTGCGAGTTTTCGTCAATGGGCGTGTCCGTGGCGTCGATGATTCGCAATGAAACAGGAAGTTGTTGTAACTTCAGTGTACATGCTCACATCTGGACCAAACTGTACATGTAGGATGAGAGTCCCGCCCTGAACACATGTACATTCCGACATTCACCCACAGTCATAGCGCCACCTGCTGGCAATAGAAAGTGACCTTTAACGAAGCAGCCCCCGCCGCATGTTTCACCTACGTGCACGAATTTTCTGTGGTACGTGTATCTTGTCCAGACGCACAAAAAAGTCTCTTGGAGCCATAGCCTAAACCCAACAGGAAGTCAGCCATTTTGAATTTTACGTCAAATTTTGGATGATTTACACACTTCGTACTTTAACGAACTCCTCCTAGGGATTTAGTCCGACCGACCTCAAATTTCTGCCGTGCCTTCTAAAGGCATTGAAGATGAAAAGTTGTGCTATTTGCAAGTTTTCGTCAATGGGCGTGTCCGTGGCGTGGCGTCAAAGATCAAGTCTTCGCCATGACACAGGAAGTTGTTGTAACTTCAGTGTACATGCTCACATCTTAACCAAACTTTACGTGCTTGATAACTCTCCCACCCCGCTATGGAGGACCGATCCTGACACAGTCAGAAATAAATACAGAAATAAATAAATGCTCAATAAATAAATAAGCATCCAATTAAATAAACAAAAAATAAAGTAAATAAATAAATGTAGGTAGTAATTAAATTATACAAGGAGACATGAATGTATATATTTTAATTAGTGCCTTTACTTATTCACCTTTGTTATAATTACCTTATTTGTTTATTCAACTTTATTTATTACAATTTTTTTAATGTATTTATTTATGTGTGTGTTTTAATATTTTGTCTGTTTTATTCTTCCTTTGTATTTATTTACCTTATTTATTTTCAGCCATGGTATTTATTTCTGCCTGTCTTTTTTAAATTTTTGTATGCATTTCTGCCTCATTATGCAAATGAGGAGGGGCTGTGTCTCAAGGGGTCATCTTCTCTGCTATTGGTGGACCAGTCAGACAGGAGAGCTCTAGGCCTACTCTGCCTGCAGACATCAACGATCTTGCCCCTCACACAGTCAGATGGCTTCCTTCAGTGCGCTGAGGTGTTTAACAACTCTGAAGACACTACCAGCCATGTCTTCCTTCTCTTTTCACGTAGACGCTCCGACAGACAGTGCTTTCAGTTTGCTGCATGCATGGACACAGAACTGCGGTATAGGGAGAAGCACACGGTCAGCTGGCTGCAGCTAAATCTGGAGTGCACTCGTATTCAATTCTGTATGGTAAATTCAGTTTTAACGGAGCAGAGCGAGCTGACAGGCAGAGTTAGAGACTTTTTCTGTCCGTTTCTCTCTTTACAAAGACGCATGTTGCAGTCAGAGTCTTCTCTGAGATGCGAGCACGACATACAACACAATTTATCAAATTACACATCGGATATACAGTATGAAAATAAGATTGATTGGATTATACTCACAGGAAGTATAAAACCTGTTACATGCGTAACACAGTAATGTCAGGGAAATTACTTTACTTAGATTTCAGGACTGCAGTTGTACATTTGAAATACCTTCCTACCTTTCTGATAGGAAGCCTTCTTGAGGTGGTATAAAACATTTCTTCATATATTCTGATTTGAGTTGTGGACAACTATGACCACATGAATTAAAAAAATTAAACATTTCACTGCCCAAGTCAGCTATAACACAAATCTTGTTCATTAGACTACATGCTGTACAGTATTTGTGGACAGATTTTGTCCCAGGATTTATTATGCATTTCTTCTTCTTCGTTGCATGATTTAGAATAATAAGGTGAGAAATGGGTCTATTCTGAGTTCATCCTGCACTGCAGCAGCTAATAAAGTCTATTTAATCCCAAAAACGCTTTTCTTTTAGGCAGGCTGGAGCAGAAAACAACTCACCTTTCTCAAGTTGTACAGTAATGTCACATGTGTATGAAGGTGGATCAAACAAGCTAATCTTAAATGTCAAAGTAGAGAGGAGCCTAGTAGGCCTATTTATTTTCATTCATTACACAATATGAATAAGCTATGCAGACAGTTGTAAAGAAAGAACATCTTTTTCTTCTGTTCTCTACTTGTTATAGTTACACAGTATTAGGGGTGTGGGCTGTATTAAAAGTATCCACTGTTCTCCCATGCTCTAACACACAGTAACGATGAAATGTGTGCTGTTCTCACATTCTTCCTCTGTATGTACACATAAACAACAAGACAGGGAAATATAAAAGGAATTTATTTTATTGTTTGGGTACATTATTGTTCAGTGTACATGCTCACATCTGAAACAAACTTTACGTGCTTGATAACTCTCCCACCCCGCAGACATCTACACGTCAATACCGATTTATATTCATAGCGGCAAGTGCTATGTAGCTCCACATAGGGGACACAGGAAGTGACATATAACACCTTCATGCGGCGTCATAACCGCGTAGCAAATTCACAGCCGCACCGGCAGAGCTCCAGAATATGCAACTCGGCCGGCTCACACGCGGACGCGCTTCCAAGTGCGAGGGCCCGCCCAACGCTGCTTGCAGCTTTAATTTATCTTTATTTTTGCTATTTTTTTCTGTGGAAATGTCCTTAGCTGCACACTATCCCTTTTGTACCTCCTAAGCTTCCATAGTGCTCATCTCCCACAGTCTCGTTTTGCACCGCTGAGGGCAAGTTGTGTGGAAAAGTACTGCTGGGCTAATATACTGTTTTCTTTGGAAATTGAACCAATTACGTTATAGCTTTCAATACATATTGTGCGATGTCAATACAGTTATGTCACGTAGCAGTTTTGTGTTAGTTTGACCGTTAAAATATGTTTTTGCAGTGTTTTCATTTTAACTTTCTAGCTGACATTTTTACCATGGCAGGCGGGCCGTGTCATGTGATCAATGTAGCTCATCGGAGATTTCAACGTCTCTTCCCTTGAGTAAACGCTGTATTTTGTATGTTTAGGAAGCAGAGGTGCAGTAAGAGGATTCTGGCTAGAAGGCAATTAATGTGTATTGTGTTCTACAGGTATGTGTTTTCCTTCTGTTTATTAATGTAATTTTAATGTCTCTATCACCTCACCCACACACTGTTTATTCAGCCCACCAGGTGTCGCTGTTATGCTATTTTGTTTTAAGGAAATGTACTGTTTTTATGTAATTGTTGCATTTAATTAATTTTCTGGACAGTGTTAATGGCTCTCCATGAGTAGTGTGCACTCTGAGGAAAATACCTCATGTATGTGTTAAAGTAATGTATTTGTAATGTATTTTAAATACATGAAGTGCTCAGTCACGTTTTGCATCGCTAAGGGAAGCAGAGGTGCAGTAAGAGGAAGCCAGAAGGCAATTAATGTGTATTGTATTCTACAGGAGCCACTAAAATGTAAAAAAAAGAAGCCATCTTGAGTCATCCTTCACACACCCCTAACCACATCCGTTACATTTACAAAAAATTATGGTTTCACCCACCTTGTATCTATTATATATTCTCAGTGTGGGGTAGTTTGGAATGTGGTACAAAACATCTCTTCTCCAAGATATCTCATTTCAGGAACTACGCTTGTAATCTGCCCAGCAACAGCATGGCGATTCGTGGAGTCAGAGGACAAACATTGGGGTCAGAGGACTTGGGCCAATCATGGACTGACCTACACTTTTGTTTTATTGTTTTATGACATGACGATGTATACTAAAACACTGGGTCAGGGAGAGATAGCCAGTCAGACTTCATGAACTGATACAGCTTGTTGTTTGTCAGGGAAAGGAAGATCGACCCAGAGCTCTGTAAGCTTTATTCATTTACTTGTAATAAAACTGATTAACTTGGACCAAAAACTTCTTCTCCTATTGCTTCATGAAAGAACACCCAGGACCAAGGACTACACATAGTTTAAAAAGGGTACTTTAAAGTCACGGTCCAACAACACACTGGGTGTTTATTTCAACCTGATTTGAGCACTACAGTAATTTGATTGCAAAAACTACAAAAACTAGCTCCTGACTACACTATGTCACTGGAGGACCCCCACCTCACAGGAAGTGGGAGGTTTCAAGGCTCCATGAAGTTGTTTATTTCCTGGTTCAAGCGTTGCGTTCACTCACTTTTGGACGACAGAACTCAACTCAAGTAAGATTTTTTTGCCTGTCTTTTCTAAAGATAGAAACGTTATTAATTATTAATTCATTAAAATTCTTGCAAAACGGACCATCACAACTCACTTCTCACAACTTTTTTCACCATTTTTTAGTTGCTCAGTACAGTTAAAATCAGTCGACTGGACGCTGGTTCAGTATCGACGTGGCTGAATGAGACATCGGGATCGCTGTCCACCGACGGTAAGAGGGACCTCTTACCCTCGTCGCCACCGCCAGCAGTGCCAGGCTGCCCAGGGTGGACCACAGACGGCCCAGAATACAACCAACTACTCCAGAGAATACAGGTATGAGGGGAGCGGTAGAGCGACCCGAGGGAACTCCGCGTCGCTGGTCCCCAGAACCACAGCCAGAGACATAGAGGGACAACTCTCCCATGTTCTCTCCCTCTCCATCCTACGCCTTTGAACAGCCTCTCTCTCCTGACTTCCTCTCCTCTCCAGTCCCTGAGCAGACTGCTACTCCTGTCTCCCCTTCGCTCTCTCCATCCTCTCAGGTGATAACTGACACATACATGACTCCTCTCCCCAGGTAGTTAACCTGCCCCCTGCTCCAAAAACTGGACTAGGTCCAGTCCAAAGACAACTGACTTTTGGCCCAGCTGTCGCTGCTACACCAGCACCTGCACTTACACACCGCCCCACTAGACACATCAACACACAGAGGAAAATTAAGGAGTGGTGCCTGACAGCCAGGAGGAGATGGCTCATTATTGGTGACTCAAATGTGGCCAGATTTGCACCTTTTTAATGCCCAGATCAACAGGTGGACAGCTTTCCTCGAGCCACCTTCAGGCATGCAGAAGCCATCCTGGCCAAAACCAACATCTGCACCACAGTCCAAAAAACCGTTTTACTTTGTCTGCAGCCCAGTTTGCTCTACTCAGCAGGGGACTTAACTTCATTCCAACAACCAGCAGCAACCCAAATTTCAAAAACCCTAGAACAGTATCACAGACGACTTTAATTACCAACTTACTTTGAACATAAACCTGACACACAACCACCACTCCCAAGTCCCAGTGTGTCCCCCCTAAGGGTAAGTTACTTCCAGACATTGACGCACTCATCCAGACAGACTTACAATATCTCCAAAACCAATTTAGATTCGGCTGGGTTAAACCAAATTTGAACAAATATGAATTTGAAGCACTAGACCAATTATGACAGAATAAGAACATCATCATCAAACCAGCCGACAAAGAAAGCGCAGTGGTTATCATGGACAGGGAACAGTACCTATGAGAAGTACAGACAGCTACATGACACAACTTACTACAAGCCAAAAAACCATTTACAAGGACCCCAAAGAAGGTTAAAGTCAAGGGCAACTGGACTTGGTTGAAGATACTAGAAGATGTTTCGTCCCTCATCCAAAGGAGAAAGGACAACAACCACACAACGCATGAAACACACAACAGATGGGTGAAAAACCTGTCAGATAGGGAACTCACCCAACCAGAGAAAGACGTTCTGACCAAAGAATTAAACTTTGCCATTATACCACAGCAGCTACCTATAGTGGACCTCATCACAGCCACAGGCCATTAGGAAAAGCAAATTAACAGAAACAGAGGCGGCACAGCTCAGACTAAAGGTATCTGCAGCCCTTTCTAATGCGAAGGCTCCCCCTTCCATCCTCACCATCCAAGAAAGGAAGGCTGTGACATCACTGAGCAAGGATCAAAACATCACTGTCCTACCTGCTGACAAAGGAAGATGCACGGTAGTCCTTAACACAGCGGATTACCAGAACAAGGTCAACACACTACTAATGGACACAAACACACATGAGACACTGAGGCAAGAAAGACAACACCATCCCGTGAACAATATCACCGTTTGTATCCTGGACAAGCCACTCCATGCATTTATGGACTACCCAAGATACACAAAGAAGGAGCCCCACTCAGGCCGATTATCAGCAGCATCAACTTGGTCACCTACAACATTGCCAAACACTTTTCTACCATTTTAGCTCCCTTGGTGCCACACCACATCCAAAACTCCATTGACTTTGTAAGCAAAGTTTGAGGACTGAAACCAGATGAAACCTATCACATGACTTCTTTGTTCACCTGCATCCCCACCATAGAAGCAGTAGAAACCGTAAAGAAACGGCTAACAGAAGACCACACCCTGGACAACAGAACTAGCCTCAGCCCTGACCAGATCTACTCGACCTCTGTCTAAACACCACCTATTTCCAGTACAACGGAGGATTCCACAGACAGAAGCATGGCTGTGCCATGGGTTCACCGGTATCCCCGATTGTGGGGAACATCTACATGGAAGAAGTGGAGAGCAAAGCCCTCAACTCCTTCAGAGGAACAGCACCGAGCCACTGGTACAGATATGTGGATGACACCTGGGTCAAAATTAAAAGCCAAGAAGTGCTAGCCTTCACAGAACACATCAACTCTGTGGACAGCAACATCAAGTTCACACGAGAAGATGTCCACAACAACAGTTTGGCCTTCTTGGACTGCGCTGTACATATTGAAGAGGACACAAGCCTGCAAATTGGTGTTTACAGAAAACCCACACACACAGACCAATACCTACTCTTCGATTCACACCACCCACTGGAGCACAAGCTGGCAGTCATGAGAACACTGCACCACAGAGCAGAAAACATACCAACAAGCACCCAAGCCAGAGAGAAGGAACTGAAACACCTGAAGGGGGCGCTTATAGGCTGTGGATACCCTAAATGGACCTTTGTGAACAGCCACAACATCCAGAAAGAACCAAACTACAGGGGATGAGGAAAAGAAGGTCAAACGCAACAACATTGCCATTCCATACGTGTCTGGAGTATCAGAGAAACTCAGGAGGATGTTCAACAAACACAACATCCCTGTGTTTTTTAAACCCAAGAACACGCTAAGACAGACAACCACTACACAAATCCATGGCTCAACACAGAAGGGCCAACTCCTCAGGACAAGACTCTGCAGTTTACTTACATCTGAAGGACAGAGGACACTCGTTTGAGGACCACCGGATGCACATTTTAGACAGATGGATGAAGATGGATGGTTTGAAAAAGGTATCATGGAAGCCATCTACACCCGGGTTGAGAAGCTGTCGTTGAACAGAGGAGGGGGCCAACGCCACCACTTATACCCCACTTACAATGCGGTCCTTTCACCTCAACAAACGTAACCTATTGGCCTCAGGTGAGGATGCCAACAATGGTCGTTCACTCTTGGCCTTGGGTAATCCTAACAACAATAACGACTGTTGTTACAACAGCCAGGAACACTAACGAACCAGCGGTATTGACAATTCTGACAAACGACCCCACTGAGGTTAAATAGCTTAGTTTCCCTACCAGTCAGTCAGAACTGAAGAAGTCCTTTGGATGTCCATCGCAGGGCCACACATAAACAAACAACCACTCATGCTCACACCTAAAGACAATTTAGGGTCACCAATTAACCTAGTCCGCATGTCTTGCTAACGTCTATGCTAACATTTTCATGGCATTTCGAGAGAGGATTTTGACCAATTTGTACATATTCTCAACCACCATAACCCTGCTATCTGTAAGGGCAGAAAATAGTTTTCTTCCTACACTTATCATATTTTATGCAAGTACTTATAAGAGTGCTATTTTTCTCCTTTTATGTCTTATATATTGTTTTAAATCTTTAACCTGTTCCATCTTTATTATTGTTCTACAGGTCATTTAGTGCTTTAACACACCCTGAAGTGAGTTTTTCAGTGTAAAAATAAATCGTGTTGATATGTCAGGAGCTACAGTGACCACAAGTGTTTCTTTTGTCCCGCAGCTAATGTGGTGACTTTCTCTGTGTTGCAGCATGTATTGAAACATATTTTTCTTATATTATACCAACAGATTATGCCAAGAGTGAGGATCAGAAGGACAGACAGAGTTTTGATTCAGCCAGATGTTTTCATGCACATTTTGGAAATACGTATAAAAACAGCTGGATAGAAACACAACTATTTTTGCATTATTTTGAGAATTTATATTTATGTTATGAATATTCATTTTCATATTGTTCATATTATTGAAGAATTTTTTTATAAAATGGATTGACATTGCCAATAAAAAACATTTTGAACAAGTATACGGTTGGGTTACTTTTGTGATTTATTTTTTTTTATGGTGGAAAACACTTAATGGCTTATTTCAACAACCCGAAACATAAAACGGTGTTGAAACAGTATTAGATTACAAAAAAGCCAAAAGAAAACAAACCAAAAGAAAGAAGGTAATTGTAATTCTTATTAAAGTATCATAATGTGCGTCTGTATTGCAAGAATCTTGCTAAATGTGGTTGATGGATTTTATCGTTTGAGTTTGAGAACGTGCGCCGCTTTAAATGTTGCCGCTGCAAGGAATTGTGGGATGGCATTCTCTCCTTTCCTTTCGTAAAGGATGGTCAGGTGTACCCTATGCTAAAGGAGATATGAAAGGAAGCATTGAGGCACCTTTCCTTAGCTTTTAGAGAATTCGAACATGGCTGCCACTGAAATACTTCCGGTTCACTTCACTCATTAGGAACGTTCCTGTTCCGTTAATCAGAAGGTCAGTGGTTCAATCCCCGGCTCCTCCAAGCTGCATGTTGAAGTGTCCTTGGGCAAGGTGTGTGTGAATGTTAGTTTATTTTTGAGCACTTAGGCTCAGTGTATAAATGTGAGTGAATGGTGAATGTAATGTAGTGTAAAAGCACTTTGAGTGGTCACAAAGACTAGAAAGGCTCTATACAAAAACAGAGCATTTACATTTACATCCCATAACCCTAACCAAACCACTCAGAGACCAAGGTCCCCCGAGTGGTTCAAACCCCCAAACCCTTTAAAGAACTCCACATCGTGACCGTCTGAGAACATTCTGGGACCATTACCAGGCAACATCCTTGACACCAGCGGGGATGTTCTGGGAATGTAACAAAAAAGATTTTTGGTTTTTGTTTTCTGTTTGTCTGTTTTTCCGTTTTGATTTTAAAAACAGAAAACCCCAAAAACGACTGTTCTGATTTGGTTTTGAAACAAAATAATCAAAGAATGAACCATACACGGATTGTGCTTCTACCCTCCACACTTAATTTGTGTGTGTGTGTACTCTACATGTTTTGTAAAACAAACTCTTTTTGCTTTAAAATGTTTTTTGTGGCTGTGGCGTTTGGTTGATTGGCTGCTTTATTCTGTTATTTCTATAAGACGTGGCAGGTTATTTAATATCTGTAGGTTGTCTTACAATTTGGCACCACCATCACCGTCATTTCCACTGGTACTCAAGGAATATGAAAATTGATAGGGATGGATAGAATTCTAGTTTTGCTTCAGTTTTTGTTATTTTTATGTACCATATGACTAAATAAAAGTCAGTACTTTTGTGCACCT